TTAATTTAAAAGTCCGTAAAAGTGATTTTGTGCTTCTTTGGGATGGCACAATAAAGCGACATTCACTTGCAGAACGCAAGCTTCTAGAGGGCACATAAGTCTGAAGTAATGAATTTAGGTAAAGGGGTAGAGAGCCAGTGGTGTTTTGTAGGCAAACATTAATGCCTTGAATTTAAAGCGAGCAGCTACTGGTAGCCAGTGCAAATTGATGAACAGAGTTGTGACGTGCATTCTTTTCGCCTCATTAAAACTGAATCTTGCTGCCGCGTTCTGGATTAATTGTAAAGGTTTGATAGAACTGGCTGGAAGACCTGCCAAGAGAGCATTGCAATGCTGCCGCGTTCTGGATTAATTGTAAAGGTTTGATAGAACTGGCTGGAAGACCTGCCAAGAGAGTATTGCAATAGTCCAGCCTGGATAGAACAAGAGCTTGAACAAGGAGTTGTGAAGCAACTATGTAACTTTATATGTAACATATAACTTTATTTATATGTATATATAAATAAACACACATACATGTATATATTTAAAAAATATATATGTAATATCTATTTATATATAATATAAATCATATGTGAAAATGAATATATGTATACATATAAATATTTAATAAATATATACATGTATTCATGTGTACTTATATATACAAATAAATATACATAGTACACACACATAAATTATGTAAACACAAACTTTTATTTTGGATGTGATCGCGATTACAAAGATAAAAAGATATAAAAAAAAAACAAAGATAAAAAGAAAAAAGGTGTTCCAAGTAGGAAAAATGAAAGGTGACATTTCCGATCAGGTTTCACAGGATGCCAAATTGGCATGCCGTGGTAACTAGTAATTACACAAGCTTCAGTCTGGATCCATAACTTACAAAGACCTGAGAAGAGATGATGCCAACCCCTCAGAGGACCTCCGATGATGCCAACCCTCAAACAACATACAAAACTACCAAATTTTGCTACAAGTTTGATCGCAACATATAATCATTGTAGTGCTGTCAAACGATTAATCGCGATTAATCATTGCTGTTAATAGTGTTCACCATCTGTTTGATTACATGTCATTAACTAACTGCATGATTTTTACTGTACATTTCTGCCATATGGACATCAATTTGAGATAGTCACCACTGATAAGCTACTACACTCTTAAAAATAAAGGTGCTTCAAAAGGTTCTTCAAGCGATGCCATAGAAGAACCATTTTTGGTTCCACAAAGAACCATTCAGTCAAAGGTTCTTTAAAGAACCATCTCTTTCTTGTGTTTTTGTAATCTGAAGAACCTTCTTTCGCCACAAAGAACCTTTTGTGAAATAGAAAGGTTCTTCAGATGTTAAAGGTTCTTTATGGAACCATTTAGACAAAAAGGTTCTTCTATGGCATCGTGAAGCACCTTTATTTTTAAGAGTGTACTAACTATTATGTAGAAACTTAAATTTTCTGTAAAGCTGCTTTGCAAAGGTTTGCATTATGAAAAGCGCTATACAAATAAACTTGAATTGAATTGATCGATTTGACAGCACTAGAAATAATATTTCACAATGCTGTTGTTTTTATTGTATTTTGCCTAGATAAACCTGTTTTAAAAAGTGAAACATTTCACAGACCCCAAATTTTTGAACAGCAGTGTCCATTTATTTTGCCATCACAACTATTTACTATTAGGTTATATGGTGAGTTGCATTTTATTATGTGCATTTATGATTGTTTTCCCACTGCTGTCTCAACCCATTTTTGGTGGGCTAGAAACCCACTAGTTGAGAATTTAAGTAATTCTGTAATTCACTTTGTTCCTTTCACATTCATCCACATATTCCATCTGTTCAATCACCCATCAATCTATCCTATCTCACATAAAAAGATGCATAATTTAAATGACCTACTATATTAAAACTATCAAATAAATAATTACGTTTTTTTTATTTGCACGCACCTGGCATGTTCCTCTGGAAGCTTCCGCTGCTTCTGCATATGGAACATGAGATCTCCTCCATTCACATACTCGATCACTAGAAACAGCCTAAACGGAGAGCAGGAGACACTCATTAAACTTAGGTTTTGTTTTTTCTTTTTAGTTTTGTTTCATATGTGCTGTATGTGAGAGATATAATGGCTACTTTCATATTTAGTCATGAAAGAGACAACCTTGTTCCATAACTCGAAATCAGACTTTTATGGTTGCTTTTCTTGTGGCGAAGGTTTCTTATTTTGAATGTGCAACTGAAAAGAGGTTTGCTGAATGAAATACATTCTCCTCTCACCGGCTCTCTGTCTGAAAGCAAGAGTGAAGTCCCACCAAGAATGGATTGGTTGATGCTTGTTCAAAAACGTGTTTCTCTGTCTGGACCCAGTCAATGTCCTACATCAGAAAAAAAAAAAAAAGAGACGTTTGACTCATGAATAATGAACTGCAAAGGAGCATGACAGCAAGATGTTGCAGTGCTTTCTAAGAACTAGAGAAGAGGACATGAAGTTTCACCACCTCTACTGGGGGACTATTGTAGGACAGAAAAAAAAAAACAAGCCTGTGTTTTCTGAGAAAAACCTGATCTATTGATCGTTTAACAGTGGAAAACACTTGGCATTATTGCATGCTGTCACTTTGGAGAGTCAAATCTCGGAATTAAAAATGTTTTAAATAAGAAAAGCACCTTTCTCTTCTTCTTTAAAAAGACATGTACAGTGCAGAAAGGAACAGAGAAAAGAGAAACAGACATGTAAATATATCACAAGATCAGTCAATAAAGTATATAATGTACAGCATCTTTCACATAAACACCTAACACTTTTTTTTTTTTTTTTATCTGTCAGAAGTTTTAATTTCACAAAACAGTGCAGACAGGATGTTACAAAACATCTGTATTGAGAATGTCTCTGGGTGTGAAGACACGGCCCAGAGATGTGTTGATAAAGTCAAGTATTTTTGTTCTGTCAACACTTTAACATTAAGCAACACTTATAATCAGCTCAAAGAATTCAAGAGAACGTCTCTTACCCAAGAACTAAAGCTGAAAAATGACAATGAACATCTTTTTGGAGGCTAAGGGTGAAATGACAGATCTCAGCCCAAACAAACACGCTTGTTTTTCTATCATGTCTGAAACTTTCCATTGGCGAATATTGTTTTTAAATCGAGCTAATGATGTTTTCTATCGTCTGACCTTAGGCTTGACACTTACAGAAACCTTTATGGGTTTTTAGATTTTAATTAGCGTGTTTATTAAGTTGTTTTCCTCATGGGACATTCAGCTCCACGATGCAGGCAAAACCTGACCCACACATACACACAGCCTGATTTCCAAAATCAGAGCAATTTAATTTCCTGGACGAGTAGAAAGCAGATTACAGGAAAGCAGTCTCAGCATAAAGAAATGAAGAGAAACAGATGATTTTTTTATATTATTTTCTCTCTTCCTATGTTTCTCTATGTTTCTTTCCTTCCTAGTTGTCCTCCCCTATCAATGGAATACTCAATCGTTCTTCTATAAGCCGAACAATTTGTCTTGTCTAATAACAGTTACTTGCTGACCTCAAACGTCTAACATATGTGTCCAGTATTTGGAATGAAAGAGAATGTGCCATTTTACTATCGGTGAGATACTATTCATTTTTAATGGAATTAGTTTTAACTTTTATATTATCCCGTTTCATTTTATTTTAGTCGGAGTTTTAGTAATTTTGTTTTGTTTTTGTCATTTTTATTATTATTTTAAACATTTTTATAAAGTTTTTTATTTTTAATTCCATTTTAGTGTTAGTTATTTTAGTACATCCGGTTAAACTAAATTTAAAAAAAAAGAGAAATTTTGTCTTTACAACAAGCTGAAATAAAATGTTTCTTTTTTTATATTTTATTTTATTTTATTCAACATTTATTTTCTTTCAAGAAACTTTTAGTTTTAGTTAACTATAATAAACCTGACTGTAGTAGACAAATAGCATGGGCATTTATTAATTCATCATCAGGATTTGAAGCTAAAATGAATATGAATCTATAAAGGGAAAGTGTATATTTTAGGTGCTGTGACTAGTCAGCATTTCTTTTAAGTTTTCCAGCATAATTTTTAACCACTTTAACAGTCTGCAGTTTATTCATGCTCAAATCGCTCTCTCTTGATGCATATGAGGCGCATAGATGCATATATGATAATCAGGCAAGATTTTTTTAAATTATCTTAAATTATTTTAGATGACCAATAAAATGGCTAATTTTGACTAATAATTAAGGTGTATATCGCTGCACAGTCTCCACACAAATAAAAATAATAATATAAGTGAAGATAAAAAGTGTCCTATTTAATTTTTTTTATATTAAGTATTAAATATCTCAATACTTAAGTAGCATTTTATTTAAGTTGTAACCATTTTATGGAAACGATAAGGGCGTTTTGTACCTTATTGCTTAAATACAGCATGTCAAACTGCAATTTGTTGCATAAAATGCCAAATTGAATGCATCATTACATTTTTAGGTTCATTAAACCTTAATGAGTGGGAATGGTGAGTGCACAACATACATACACAGAACACACATGTACAGTACAGTAAAACAGACGGAGAACACATTCCTTGAAGAAACGCCTGCTTTCCAGGAAACCATTATATTGTTTGTGCTTATTCAGAGGTCAACTGCATGTCTCTGTCATTCTGGAAGGACCTCTGCTCTTCATGAACTTCATTCATGTGTGTTAGCTGACAGCCATGTGGCTTTATGTTCCTGAGTGAGCCAAGTTTACAAAGACACAATAGCTTTGACTGTACAGAGTTTACTTTGTGATGAATAGCTGTGGAGTTTGCTTTGTCTTTCTATTTGATGCCTGTTCACACATATCAGGTTTCCTTACTGAGAGTGAGAAGGGAAGAAAGAGATATGGCTAATGCTACAGTGCATAGAAACTCGGTTTTTCTTTGAGTTGACAACCAAAAGATAACACAATAATGACTTTTAATGTTGTATTAGTGCTTTATCATAAATTCCAATCTCACTGCAATAAATACACTATCGTTCAAAGGTTTGGGGTCTCTCATGCTGACCATGGCTGCATTTATTTGATCAAAAATATAGTAAGAACAGTAATACTTTCTAATAGTATTACAATTTAAAATAACTGTTTTAATACATGCAAAGTTGAATTTTCAGCAGCCATTACTCCAGTCTTCAGCATCACATGATCCTTCTGAAATCATTCTAATATAAATAATGCTCAAGAAAACATTAGAAAACAGCTGTGGTGCTTAATATTTTTATAGAAACTGTGATGCATTTTTGCAGGATTCATTGATAAATATAAAGTTCAAAAGAGCAGCATTTATTTGAAACAGAAATCGTCTGTAACATTATAAATATCTTTACGGTCACTTTTGATCAATTTAATGCGTCCTTGCTCAATACATGTATTAATTTCTTTTGAAAAAAAAAAAAAAGAAGCTTTCTGACCCCAAACTTTTGAATTTGTATTAAATATCTGGTCCTTGGAAGGTCTTAAAATTTTGAAAATAAAACCTCAGAAGAACGACAACACATGACATATTGCACTGTATCATTATTTATTTAACAAAAATGGTAAATCCATGTGTGACAAAGTTAGGACACCCCTACTGTTAATCCATCAGTCTGGGAAGAGTACTACAGCCATTTCCCAAAAATTTGAAGTCCATCATTCTACAGTGAGGAAGTGGAAGACATTCAAAAGAGACACCAATCCACCCAGGAGTGGACATCCCAGCAAATGCACCCCAAGATCAGACAGTGTAAAGCTCAGAGAAATGGCAGGCAGCCCAAGAACTTCACCGCAGCAGACTCTACAGGCCTCAGTTAACATGTTAAATTATAAAGTTCATGACAGTACAATTAGAAAAATATGGGACAAGTATGGCATGTTTGGAAGCCTCTTCTATCTAAAAAAAAAAAAACATGGCAGCACAGTTTAGGTTTGTAAAGCTGTATCTGAACAAACCATAAGACTTCTAGAACAATGTCCTTTGAACAGATGAGACCAAAGTGGAGATGTTTGGCCATAATGCACAGCACCATGTTTGCTGAAAACCTAAAGAGCATATCAGCACAAACACCTCATACCAAAAGTCACACATGCTGGTGGAGGGCTGATGATTTTGTAGCCACAGGACCTGGGCGCCTCATTGAGTCGATCATGAGCTCCTCTGTATATCAAAGTATTCTAGAGTCAAATGTGAGGCCATCCATCCGACAGCTAAAGTTGGGCCAAAATTGGGTCATGGACAGTGATCCCAAGCACACCAGCAAATCTACAACAGAACGGCTGAAAAGAAAAGAATCAAGGTGTTGCAACAGTCCAGTCAAAGTCCAGACCTCATCCTGACTTAAAATGCTGTAGCGAGAGCAGTGCATAAACAAATGCCCACAAACATCAATAAACTGGAGCAACGTTGTAAAAAAAGAGGGGGCAAAAATTCCTCCAGAACAATGTGAGGGACTGATAAAGTCATACAGAAAAGTATTACTTCAAGTTATTGCTGCTAAAAGTGGATCTATAGGCAACCGAATCATAGGATGTCCTAACTTTGTCACTCGTGGATTTTCCATCTTGGCTTTATTTTTGTTCAATAAATAATGACAAAGTGTGATGTTGTTCATCTGAGGTTTTATTTTCCAAATTTTAATACCTGCCAAGGACCAGATATTTGTTATTATGTCCTGATACAGAAAACCATGGAATTCAATAGGGTGTCCTAACTTTTCACATGACTGTGCATATACATTCTTTAGTTCTTTCAGTTTTTCCAAGGGAAATTATTAAACAAGAACCTAAAAAAAAAAATTAAAAAAAAAATCTTTACTTTGACAGTTTGAATGTGGCCGTTAACCAGGCTGTTTTTAAAACAGACTGATGCATGAAAATTATATTGTGACAAAGTGAGTAATTTAACTCTTATGACGGTTTTAAAAGTTCTCCTAAAAAGCAATCTGTGTATTCTGCATCTACAACTCCATCTATCAATTGGCCATCATATCAAAATGATTCATTTACTTCTATTATTATCTGCAGATGTTTGTCTTTTTCTGATGGTTGCTGTTTTTCTTTGATGCCACGCTCAGGAAAACATTAATACAAATGATTTTGGGCTTCATTTGGCTCCTAAAAATGTTATGAGGACACAAGAGAAATGGAAAAATATGTAATGCAAGGGCAAAGAGTTTGCTAAACAGTGACCAAAGTGTCTTCATCTTTAGTATGAATGAGGATTTAGCTATTTGAAAGGAGCACAATCCCATAGCACCATCTACAGGTGACTATTACACTCACACTTCCAAACTATAATCAACTTTCTGTATTTTCACAGATCTGTAAGGCGCAACACATACACCATGTTTTTAGCCACACAAACAAACAAATGGCATCACAGCAAACAAATTGCATACAATATCATCTCCTATCTCATTTTTGCCATATTTGACAAACAGAAAAAATTGCTACATATACCTAAACAGGATTCAGTTAAACCTATAAAGCATAATTGTGATGAAACTGAAACAGCCCCACCCTCAAGCATTATCACCATGACAACAGTCTGTTACCTCATCATCATGGACCAGCTCTTTCTTCACCACCTTCATGGCGTAAATCTGTTCGTTCTTCTTGAGTCGGACCAGCAGCACCTTAGCATAACTGCCCCTCCCAATGACCCGGATCAGGTCAAAGTCCCCCAGACCGAGCCCCTGAGAGATCTGAATCCCCTCGATACCATCCACCACTGCCTTCAGATCCTGTGTGCACACAGTGGTTTCATGTTACATGTGTTCCTGACTTCCTGTACAAACTGTATGGATATGAAGAATGTGAATAAGAGCATTTGTACATGATTATTATTAAATGAGAACCTGTGGATCTGCGTCTTACCTCTGCGTCATCTTCAGCTTTCTCCACTTTCCGGTTGTGTGCTAAAAAAGAGACTGGAACTGAGAGACAGAGAAAGAGTTTTTATTATTCCTAATATATTTTATCTACAAATTAGAAGAGAGGATAGGAGAAAGTATTTTAACATTCAAAGTTGAAAATATTCACATTATTTCCCTTTAAGTGTAACAGCAGTTGTATTGGGATAAGTTAGTTTAATGTATCACCCAGAAAAAATAATTATCAGCAATAATAATAATAATAAAATATTAATTTACATATTAGGATGGGATAGGATTGGAGAAATGAATTTGTCCATTTAGATGGTTGCTAAATGGTTATTATTATTATTATTATAATTAAGAGAGGACAGGAGAAAGTATAAATAACATTGAAAAAAAAACATTCTTCCACAACAGTAAAAAAAAAAAAAATCTATTAATTAGTTTGATGCATCACTCAGAAATATTCCCGGAAGTCATTTTACACTTACATTAATTAGATTAACATCAATTAGATTAAATGTTTTGAAATGTCACCTACCACACAGTTTAACCCTCAAACTAAGTTCAAATGCTTTGAAATCGGTTCAATTAAATCATTACAAATAATCAATTCAGAAGAACAATTTGCTTCCACAAATCACTAAAGTGTGTTGAGTTCAGTCTTAGAATCTTTCAGCTAGTTGTGTAGTAGTGTGTCCCCAGCTTAAAGTGCCCCTATTATGGATTTTTGAAAATTACCTTTCATGCAGTGTGTAACACAGCTCTAAGAGAACGAAAACATCCTGCAAAGTTTTAAATCTGAAAGTGCACCGTGTATAAAGTTATTGTCTCTCAAAAGAAAGAGTCGACTCTGAATCATTGAAGCTAGTCGTTTTTAAAACAAATCCCAAGCCGTTTCATGTTGACATCAACATGAAACATTAGCATATTGCCCGCCCACTTGTTGGTCGTTGGTCTGAATGAAAATGCAAAGTCTTGGCAAATTTTTTGCCACTAGATGCCGCTTTTGGAGCGATGTTTCCCCGGTAACGGCTGTACACAAAGCAGCACTGCACTTTATCAGGCATTACAGGCATGATGAAATGAAAATGAGACCATTAGCATCATGAAAAGGAGGGGTTTGGAAAAATGAATCGTTGAGCGAATCGTTTGGGAGTTGTTGAGCAAATAAGGTAAAAATAAATGCATATTATAAGACAATTAAAGTGTTTTTTGACCTTGCATGCATGTCAACCTGTTGTTGGGGACTCCCAAAACCAAACTATGAACCTTTCATTACCCATAATAGGGGCACTTTAAGAGAAATGTGTAATGCTATCAGACCCCAGCAGAGGGAGCCACAGACTGGACTGTCTCAGAAGGATGAGCATGTCTTTCTCTCTCAACTGGGTCAATGTGACATTACTCACACCTGATGTACTACAGTATCCTTCCACAGTCAGCAGTGCCCTCTGACAGATAGAGGACAGAATGACCCTAATACCCATTCAAAAACAGCTTTTAAACACACAGCGGAGATGGAGACCTACTTGCGTCTGTTTCCTCAGGGTCCTCAGGGGGGAGCTCCACTTCCTCTCCACTTTTATCATCGTCTACCAACGGCTCCTGTGATGGCATGACTGCATCCTGCAGAAAAACAGAGATAATACAGGCAAGCTATTTTTCAATGTGCTTTTTTCGCTCTCCTCTTTGGGGGTTCTAAATAAATATTTCACTTAGTTACCCAAACATGCCCAAATCAAAGCTGACCCTATTTACCTTCTTAATAAAGGTCTCTTATGCGAGATCATTTTTCTAAAGAAAAATGGTTTATTTTCATAATCGTTCATCAAAATTTAATAACTTTCACTACCTTTGAAATGACTAATAATAATTAAAAATAACAATAATATTACTATTAACAGATTATTAATATATCAATATATACTATAATACATTTCTATATCATGTGTATAATGTGACTTATTAATTATAAAACAATGATAATAATAATTATTGAAAATAACAAAAAAAGAAATCATATTTGGAAATGCTTCCGAAACTTTTCAAACTTTCTTGACCACACAAAACAAATATAATTATAATAATCACTTTATGAATATATTAAAATAATTAATTATAATAATATAGTTATACACTAATATAATATATAGCTATATAATAATTAAAAATAACAATAATATTACTATTAACAGATTATTAATATATCAATATATACTATAATATATACTTTAATACTATATCATTTCTATATATTTTGTTGTGGAAAAAATAAGGAAAGTGTGTTCAAGCGCCAGCAGAAAACAGTGTAAAGAGGCAGGGACACCGGCAAAGGATACGTATCACTTTTTATTTCTCCTCTTTCCTATTACTTGTTTCACTTCCATATATATATAATGTGTGCCTTATTAATTATAAAACAATGATAATAATAATTATTGAAAATAAAAATAATTATAAAAAATAACACAAAATGTCAAATTTTGAGATGCTTCTGAAACTTTATTATACTTATACTAATCACATTATGAACATATTAACATAATTAATTATTATAATATATAGCTATATAACAATAATATTACTATTACCAGATTATTAATATACCAATTTAATATTATAAAATATTGTTTCCAATTCTAGTACTAAGGACATTTTTTAAACAGGTTATAAATAAAAAACACAAACAAATCTAAGAAGAGTATTTCAGTATTATCTGGCCATAGTGGCACTACTAACACTATAATAATATATCATTTCTATATCATGTGTACAATGTGTGCCTCTCTGAAGATATGGGAGTCAGTTATAGCTAAGTATTCTTAGATATAACTATTCAAGACCATAAATGTATAACTACAAAATGAGGACAAACACTTGTGAGAAAGTGAGATAGACAAAAAGATCTACAATGAAAAGACGTAGCCAGCAGGAGAATGACAGAATTGCTTCACAAAATGAGGATAAAGTCAAAATGAATAAAGCTTATCAGCTTTGGAATCTGTTAGAAAAAAACCTGAGGTACTGTAGGAAATCTGAGGTCTGATGTCTTCTGCCATGTAAATAAACCAGAAGTGCATTGCTGAATATTGAATTTCTGACATATGAAACAACTGGAGAAACTGAAGATGTTTCAATGTGACAGCTTCCAGTCTGTGATTTCAACATTCTGTGTAAGCTCAGAATCTGGTCAATTCAGTACTGACAAGACACTGTTATCATCTGACAGATTTCACAAGGTCAATCTCTGAAACATTGTTAGAAACCCCAACAACACTCTTGAGAAGTGAGAAGAGAGGAAAACAGTCTTAACAGCTCAAAAACAAGAAGAAAACAAAAACGATGAGCTCATTTTCATGAAATGACAAATTATTTTCTAAGTTCAGTTTTTCAAAGCATATGCTTTCAAGTCTATGGGGGTGACTTTGATTTCAGAATCTCAGTCACAACAGACAGATGATGAATATATTTCGAGCTGACTGAAAGACTCACCATATGCCTTTGACAGGTCAGTGGGACGAGCTTGTGACAGCGTTTATGGACCAGTAGCTTGCAGTTGATACACTTGTAGCCCTGACGCCCCAGTCCCCATATCCTCTCGCTGCAGTGGCCACAGTATGCTTTCTGAGAGACACACACAGACATGATTACTGAAGTTAGACTAGCCTTATCTATGATCCATTTAGCAAGTTGAAACACTTCAATGAATGAGTAAATCAACAAACTACGAAAGAAAAAAGGGATGTCCTACAGATATCACATGAGCAGATAGCACACATCAGCTGAGTAATGCATTCTGGATTCAAAACAAGCACAAAACTAGAAATGAAATAATATAAATACGTAAAAAAAAAAAATGTAATTAATTTAAAAATACACTACCGTTCAAAATTTGGGGGTTAGTAAGTGTTTTTTTTTATTAAAGAAATAAATACTTTAATTTAGGAAGTATGCATTAAATTGATCAAAAGTGACAGTAAAGACATTTATAATGTTTTAAAAGATTTCTATTTCAGTATAAATGCTGTTTTTTTATTTCTATTCATCAATGAATCCCGATAAAAGATGTATAATTGTTTTCACAAACATATTCACAAACATAAAAAAAAGTAGCACAACTACTTTAAACATTGATAACAATTAGAAATGTTTAATCAAATCAGCATATTATTATGATTTCTGAAGGATCATGTGACACTGAAGACTGGAGTAATTGCTGCTGAAAATTTAGCTTTGCCATTAAAGGAATAAATAAAATTTTCCAAAAATTATATTAAAATAGAATATTTTACATGGTAAAAATATTTCATAATATTACCGTTTATACTGTATTTTTTGCTCAAATAAATGGAGACTTTATAAGCATAAGAAATGTAAACATTAACATCTCAGAGACATTAGAAAAATCATACCAATCTCAAACATTTGAATGGCAAATAAAATAAAATTTAAATAAATAAAATTAAATAATAATTTTATAAATAAAATTTAAAAAAAGCATTTAAAATGTAAGGAAAAAATAAATAAATATTAACCATTTTTGACAGGAACCCTGGCTAGATAAATATCATGCATCATACTTAATGTACTATATTTACATTATATGTCTTGCTAAATTTCCAAGCTATCTGTGTAACGCTAACACACACTCAGCACCTGTACATACTTAAGGCCTAGCTAATGCTTTCAACAGATTTTGTTTAAAATCCAGGCACAGTCAGAGGACTCTGCTGACAGCGCTGTAACCAACATTAAGGTTTCAAACACACACACACACACACACCTGCTCTCACACAGACACTCTGTGAGTCATAAATAAATGAAAATATCCTAAGCACAGTTCGTTGTGAGGTTCTCCATCTGTCCACAGTAAAAAGTGCTACATGAATGCATGAAAGAAATATAGAAAATAATTCTGGTCAAAACTGTGGAATCATCAACAAAATAAATACAGCAACATGGGCAAGACCGAGAAAGACGCAAAAAGATCACATTACAAACCAAGCAGAAGTCTTCAGTCAAGTTGTCCACCAGAGGGCCCTCTAACAGCAGGACTTCGGTGCATCATGTAGCATAATCTTATTAAAATATGCTAATCTTTCATTATCGGACATGCACTTCCTCTAACAGTTTCCCCTCTCTGTCATAGCAGATAGCTGAGCATCATCTGTTTAACAGACCTTCAACAAACCCTCAGAGAAGGACTCTTCTCACAAGATGCTCTTCTTGTCGGTGCTTGACGTTTCCTCCATGTTCCCTGACTCTATTTCACAGCTCTGTGAGCATGTCATGATCCCTGTGCTGCTGGTGAGTTTTTAGACAGCACTTCCTCACCAAAGGAGACGTTCACCTGCTGCAGTGATTTCTCCATATCTCTGAAGCCCCCAGCCCTGACGAATGACCTACATTTTCTTGCCACTTTCCATCAGGTGCTCAATTTATGTAACTGGGGTTAAACACTGAGAAATCAGGGCTCGAAAGTAGCACACATTATATCTAAAGCTTGAAGCTGGAAAAGAAATAAACATGTTCCTTATGATTAGGAATGTGACGAGTAAAGAATTGTAAATATTCTGGTTTCTTAATGGCTAAATTAATCATTCTTTTAGCGTTTGAAAAAATAAATACTTAATCAGAATCAGAAAAAGAAAAAAAAAAGAAATATACTACTTTCATCACCAAATGATATTATTTTAATAATGAAAACAATTCAAACATTTTTGTTGTTTACACAATTTAATGACTTTTCAGTGGCAACATAAATGTTATTTAATAACTAGAACTATATAGTCAACAACAGTGTTGTGGAAAGTTACTTTTAAAAGTAATGCATTACAATATTGCGTTACTCCATAAAAAAGTAACTAATTACGTTACTTCGTTACTTTTATGGAAAGTAATGCGTTACGTCAAAAGTAACTTGCGTTACTTTTTAAATCTGGACAGGGCTTGCTTGTTTGTTTTTAAAATAAAAAAATTATATTTTTGGCAAATATAAAAGCCTTTTCACACCAAAAGTGAAATGAATAAGCCTCAGGCTGAAGGGAAAGTAAATTTATGTCCGTACAGTAGAATGCAGAAGAAGAAATTTCAACACACTTCAGCAATAAAAAAAAGACACACAAATGTTTGTCTAGAGTAATTTTTGCTTATTAGTATGGTTGAACTGGATCATCGAAGGTCAGAAGCAAAGACATTGGTTAATAGAATGGGATTAAATACATAAAGGATATTTGTGTTGTTTAACATTTAATTATTGCAGGTTTACGTCATATTCTGAGTTGCATTATTTTTTATTCATTTTGAGGAATACTGAATCTGTTTTTTGTGTGTGTGTGTGTCAGTGAGATGAATTAATGCATATTCATATTTATTATAGAACTACAGGAAAGCAAAAATAAGTAATATTTAATAGATTTTTTTATGAAATACTGACATTTACAATATGTATCTTTACCTACACATTGTCAAGTGAACAAGTCATTACACTAATTTAAGTCTTACAGTCAGTTGTTAACTGCATGCGTTTGGAAAAAAAAAAAACTCAAAAGAATAACTGGTTCATAATAGTCATTCGTTCAGGAATATTTGTTAAAATATTCATTAAAAAATTTGTTTTGGAATCGGACTACACTGGTCGCCCCATACCGTATGTGTTTAATTCACTAAAAAGAACCATTCATTCAGGAATTGGACTACACTGATCGTGCTGTACAGTATGTGTTTGATTTCAGAAAAAAAGGCTAAAAATATAATTTGTTTGGGATCTGGACTACTCTGGTTGCTCTATACAGTTTGTATAGTACTGTATTATTCACAAAACAAAACAAAAAAACCCCGCTCAGAACTGTCATTTGTTTAGAAATCAGACTACACTACACTGGTTGTGCTCTATGTATTTAATTCACTAAAAAAAAAGAACTGGTTCAGAGTCAATTGTGTTGAACTAGCACTAAAATCATTCTCTGTTTCTTTGTGACGTGAAATATTAAATATCCCAAAATGTCTGTTTTATTTCCCACCAACAAATCTCAAGAACCTCCTCAAGGACTACTAGAAGGCAGCATTATATCACCCATTAGCGGGAAACGATCAAAGAAGAACATCACGGAGACACCTGACGCTATATGCAATGATTCTGTGCTGTTATTCTTAGAAATGTGTGCAATCTTTCATATAAACAGTCTCTTTCTTCATCTCTCCCCCTCTCGCATCTGAATCCCAGCACAGCTTCCAACCCCTGGACTTTTTTTTACATATCGAGCCAGCGCTGCTAAGCCAATGCAATGCCAGGGAAACAATGTGTTTCTGCACCCATTTAAAACACATCAAGTCTGCACATATCGGGCTTCCATTCAGGAGAGTGGATTAAACTTTAAACTCAACCAATTGTCCCCAACAAATAGCAAACATTTAGCACAGCTGAGCGAATGGGGCCTTCAGGGCCGAGCGTGTGCCCCACGTATCCCAGATACAGCAGGAATAACATGGGAATGTAAGGAAAGACCTCTACTCTTGGAAAACTTGAAACTACTACTGCCCCTGATCTATGAATGCAGTGACTGAAACATCTAAATAAGCCTTTGTCTGTGTTGTGATTGTGGAGAAAAAAAAAAACAATGTAAGAACAGACTCAGAAAGGCATATTTAATCACTTGGCATTTCTTGGCTTCTATATTGGAAACTAAGCAGCAAAAGACCATTAATATATATGACCCTGGACCACAAAACCAGTCATAAGGGTCAATTTTTTAAAACTGAGATGTATACATCACCTGAAAGCTGAATAAATAAGCTTTCCATTGATGTATGGTTTGTTAGGATAGGACAATATTTGGCCGAGATACAGCTATTTGAAAATCTGGAATCTGAAGGGGCAAAAAAATCAAAATGCTGAGAAAATCGCCTTTAAAGTTGTCCAAATGAAGTTCTTTGCAATGCATATTACTAATCAAAAATTAAGTTTTGATATATTTACAGTAGGAAATTTACAAAATATCTTTATAGAACATGATCTTTACTTAATATCCTAATGATTTTTGGCATAAAAGAAAAATCGATAATTTTGACCCATACAATGTTTTTTTTGGCTATTGCTAAAAATATACCCCAGCGACTTAAGACTGGTTTTGTGGTCCAGGGTCACATCTGCCACATCAAAGACATTGTGGCAGATGAGTAAAGCATAAATGAGCAAACACACAAAAAGTGGTCAATATATCGTTTCCCTATTAATTAATTAATTATACCGGAATAACATTAAATTGACAGCTCAATTGATGAATTTAATCACATGATGTGCAGATTTATTTAATAAACTGCACTTAAATCACAAATATTCATATTTGTATCCAAAACTCCATACACTAAAAAAAAAAATTCCACTTATTTCACATTAAAAACCTTAGTTCAGTTGCTGCCTTAAATTTTAAGTATAATTAACTTGGTTGTACAAGTCATTTCAACGTGAATTACATTAAATCGACTTTAAAATCAAGTTGAATTCCATAATAATTTATAAAATATACAAATATAAATTGCCCAACTTATTTTGATAAGTAATGTGAAGTTGCCATGACATACTGATCAAATCATTTTTACATATAAAAAGAAAGAAAGAAAGA